TTATAAATTACTATTATTTTTTTCATGTCTTACACTGACTAATGTCTCCCTTTACCCACTTTCCTGTTGTCCATCCCCCTGGGAGGGGGTTATAGGTAGGTCATTGTCATCGGTTCCCCTTTTCTCCCCCCACCTTTCCCTTACCCTCCTGGTATGCCTACTCTCATTATTGGTCCTGAGGGGTTTATCTATCCTGGGTCCCCTGTGTTTCCAGCTCTTATCTGTACCAGTGTACATGCTCTGGTCTAGCCGGATTTGTAAGGTAGAATTGGAATCATGACAGTGTGTGGGGGGGAAGCATTAAAGAACTAGAGGAAAGTTGTATGTTTCATCAGTGCGATACTGCTCCTCTCTTCCCCAAGACCCTTCTGTAAGGGGATGTCCAGTTCCCTACAGCTGGGCTTTGGGTCTCCACCGCATACTCCCCCTCATTCACAAAGCTATGCTGTTTTGTTCTGGGTGTTTGATGCAGGCATACTTCTGGAGAGTGCCCCAGCGAGCTCCTCGCTGTCTCAGTACACTTGTTCACAAGCAACAACAAGGCCAGCCATGGCACTCGACACCCTTGTTGGCACAACTAGCCTGGGAAACTCCGTGTTTCACACTGACCAGCTCATCCACTTCTGCATCTGTCTAACGTCCTTTCTTCCTGATCTGGAGGGCCACACACCACAGCCGGTCCCTGAGAAGTATCTCCAGTGTCGCCTTTCAGAGCATGACGCCTCTCACCCGTGGAAATATTTCTTTGCTGACCTGTTTGCTTTTCATCTTACGTTGTTGTCTCGTTGTTTTTCACGAGTTTGCCAGAGCCTTTGAAAATGACGTCTACAGACTTCAGCACGCATCGTTATTTCATTTGCATCCTGATGGCGAGCCGGCTAAGCTATCTTGTTCTTAATAGGATTTTAAAAGAAAAGACACAAACATCACAGCATACATCAGGTCAATCCTGTCTGTGCTTGGTTCTAGCAATGATGTTCTCTTGCTCTCTCTGAAAAACCTACAAAAAGGAAATTGACCAGCTTTCTGTTGCTCTCTAATTAAATAGGCTTGCTGAGAAGTCACATGCAAGAATTTCTGAGTCTTATGATTAATGCTGATCAGGACAGTGGCTGCCCATTCAGTTGCACTATCAAAACCAAATAATGACTCCATGCTGTAATAGGTTAGTGCTGACGACAGAATCCTTTTGCCCTTCCAGTACTCTTTTATCTCATTACTTGTCTTTAGTTTTAAATGACACTCTTTTTTTTTTTGCATTTTGAGAGACGAACTGCCAACACATGGAACCATTAACTAAGAAATAGATGTGTGTCTTCACTGGTCAACAACAGAAATAGAGGTGGAAATTCAGCACCACCCCCCCCCCACTCCCGCATCATTATTGTAGCTCTCTGTACACGGAAGGAACATCAAAGTTCAAGTTCTTCCCAGTTTCCTGATGCCTTTCGCAGAGAATTCCGAAGTGCGGCAGTAGGCAGATTGAATTGCTGTAGCAATTCTTAAACTCAGAAATGAAATTAAACCAGCAAAGGCAGTGTGCCTGCCCCTCGTTCAAATAGTGGTTCTTCCAGAAAAAGGGGCATCTCCGTAGGCACAGCAATGGTAACAATAGTATCTTTCGGGAGGATCAGAGCTAGCAAGTTTCTGTAGATTACAGAACACAGTCAACTGTTTTCCACAGGCTGTGCCAACAGAGTTCTCAGTCAGGTCCGTTGCTCTGTGCAGAGATGCTTGGAACACTCTGTGACATGGCATTCACATAATGCGTTCGCAAATTATTTTCTGTTCCTATTCTCAAGAGAGAGAAACAAAGAGCTAGTAACTAGCTCAATAGAAGTTTTTCCTAACAACAGAGCACTTAGATCACTCAACCATTAAGAGACTCATTCAGAAGAACATTTTTCATACTGTAAATAAAGGTCTAGATTCCGTGGTACTTCGTGATTCATGGTAATTCTCTTTCTTCCTAATGGCTGTTTCTTTTTGTGCAGTCCACAGAGACTGCTATGCCTCTTGGGGAGGGAGCGTTCAGAGCAGCTTGAACTTGGGGCTGGCTGACGGAGGTTCCTTAGGCTGACTAGAAACTCAGGGCTCAGACCTGGTGGAGAAACGTTTCTCGATTTTCAACTGCCAACCACAAGGTCAGCAGTTCGCATCCACCAGCCATTCCCCGGGAGAAAGATGAGGTTTTTTTCTCTTCCCGTACAGCTTGACAGCCTTGGGAACGCCACAAGGGGGGTTCTACCCTATCCCACAGGGTCAACGCGAGCTGAGCAGAATGCTGCCCCAACCCTTTCCATCGGTTCCAGGAATCGGTTCTGTACATCGGCAAAAGGACTTTTCCAGCTGGGGCAAGCGAGCAAGGATGAGCGTGTGGTTGTGTTGGTCAGGCGCACGGGGCTTAACCTCTGTTGTCTCCTTCCTCCTGGGAGCTCTGCCACTGGACCATGTCAAGCGACGGTGGGAGCTTCTCTCCAGGTCTGGGCTCTTGACAAACCGCAGCAAGTTGGGATGCTGTCAGAGCCCAGGCAGAGGGAGGCCTGGCTGCGGTCAGAGCTCTGGTGTCCGGCTGCCGTCACTCATCTGTGTGTCCCCCTCTCGCCACACCCAGCACCTCCACCACCTTCCTGGTGTCGGTCATTTGATTGTAACTACACTGCAACTTCCTGGGTGGCACAGATGGTGAAGCGCTTGACTACTATGAGCCAAAATTGTGACCAAGAAAAACGTCATGATCTACTGGTTTTTCAAATGTTCACAGCACCATGCTGCTCCGGCTAACAGGGGGTCGCCCTGAGGGGGATCAACTCAACAGCAGGGGGCAACACATCTGCAGGACCATCAGAATGGTCTTCCTGTGGAGCTCGGACAGGGAACACTGAGATACCTAAGGCGGGAGAGCCAACAGGAAGTAAAGCAGATAGGAAGGCTAAAGCAAGAATCACCGGTATTTCCCCCACAGGCCCCTAGTATAAAAGCTGTGGGGCTTTTTTTTCTCCATAAGAAAAAAAACCAAACCAAACCCACTGCCATTGAGTCCATCCTATAGGGCAGGAGAGATCCGTGGGCATCTGAGACTATAATTCTTTATGGGAGTAGAAAGCCACGTTTTTTCTCCAAAGGATCAGCTGGTGGTTTCAAACTGCTAACTTTGTGGTTGGCAGCCCAGCACATAACCACTGTGCTACCGAGCCTCCTTTTAAGTCAAGACAACCTAGTAATCCTACTGCCATGCCATGGAGTCCTTGGGTTTCCTGCCCTCCAAGCCCAAGTGCCTGTGTTCCGACAGCCAAGCACGATTTTACTTTCTGGAAGATTCCTCACATCTTCTTGGGTTTCAGAGAAGTGTCTGCGGGCTGGAGAGGCTCTGTCCTCTCCCGGGTGGGCTCTCACTCACTGGCCTGTGGTGCTTTCTGTTGGGTCCACAGCCTCTGTCCTTCACGGGCTTCCGCAACTGGTTTTGGCCCCAGTGGCAAACGAAACAAAACAAAGCTCCAGGCTGCCAAAATGCAGGTGATCGAGGTCAAACTACAGAGGAGAGGCCAACCATTGTTTGGATGAACACACATTCTTGATCTAAATTAATCTACAATCTCGCTTGAATGGCTGCTAAATTAGGTCATCGGGCTGACTGTTGTCGGTCAGTCCCACCCTGACCGGCCTGACCGTCCCCCGTCCCCCCCACATGGTGGGGCCGCTCCAGGTTAAAGGTCTTCCTTGCTACTTAATGTGTTGCTCTTCAGCTTCGTAAAGCATAGGGTTAACTTGTATTTTCCCATCCTTGTTCGTGTGTGTGTGTGTGTGTGTGTGTGTGTGTGTGTGTGTGTACACTGCCTCCTATTTTCGCTTCCCGGGAAATTTGCCAGTTCTTCAAGGACCGGGTAAAAAACAAAATAAATATTTGTAGGTAGTTTCAAAGGAGAGTCCATACGTTGGCCCATCCAAAGAAACGCATTTTAATCATCTTGCAGATGTTTTCAAAGTAATTAACTCAGGACATTCAGGGGTTGATTTAGGAGTTTACCTTTCAGGTAGGTGGTCAAGAAACTGTGTGTGTGTGTGTGTGTGTGTGTGTTGGGGGGGAGGGGCGAGGAGAGAGGGTTTGGAGAAAGTGCAGGCATATGAATGACAAACTCAATTTCAAACTCCTGAGTCAGTGACTGAAATTGTTTGGGTTTTTTTTTTTAGTGGGTGTGTGTGTGTGTGTGTGCTCAATTTCAAACTCCTGAGTCGGTGACTGAAATTGTTTGGGGTTTTTTTTTTAGGGGGGGGGGATGTGGAGGGATTTCTCCGTCACTGTTTTACATGCGGTGTCCATGAGACCCTAACATGGGCGACACCTTGATGTCCCTACAGCGTTTACTTAACGAAATTCAGCATGTGCCCTCTCTTTCACGTTGCTTTAAAAGTGGGGAGGTGGGAGGAGGCCCGCTGAAAAATTCCGGAGGTTCAGCCTTCTGTTTATATAAATACGTATCTCGCTCTATTTTGGGGGAGTTCCATTCCGTGGCCGGGATTAGGCGCCAGAGAAATGGATCCCAGCAAAGGTTCATGCCCCTATTCATGTGTGTGCTGTTTTCCTCCCCAAGGCTTGGCTGCGGAGGCCAGGAGCTGGTGGCAGTGGGAACAGGCGGCGCTGGGCCGGGCTGCGAGTCCGTCACCTGTTGGGACCTCTCAGAGCGCAGGAGCAGGCGGGCCGCCCCAGGCCGCGGCTGCCGCGCCCCCCACCACAGCCCCCACTCCTCCCTCGGAGGTCCGGCCGCACCGACCGACCGACCGACGACGGGGAGGGGGGCGCACGGAGGGACCTGGGCGCGCGCAGGCCGGGCGCCTGGAATGCAGCTGGCTCCGGCGAGGGGGCGAGACTTTGCTCGGTCGTGGAGACTAGTTTGGGGTGGGGTTTCGCACGGGACCCTCCTCCTCCCACCTCCGGGCCCCTTTCCAGGCGCGTTCTGGGAGCTCGGCGCACTGCGCTCTGAAGTTTGGGGAGCGAGGAGCCTGAGCCTTGGGCAGGGACAATGGAAGAAAACGAAAGCCGGAAATGTGAGCCGGGCCGCCCTTGCTCAGCAGACGGCGGCGGCAGACCGACGCGGGGTAAGTCCCCGCTCCTTCAAAGATGGAGTTAGGTGTCGCCGTGCCCCGCGGTCGCCGGCTGCTTCGTAGGACCCGAGCCCCGGCGGGTGTAGAGCAAAAGCCGAGTGCTGCGGGCGGCCGGGGTTGCCCACACTGCGCACAGGGCGCGGATTCCCGGAGCTTGGCTTGATGACCTGTGGCCGGGTTTTCGTCCAGCCGCGGAGGGAGGAGGTGGCGCCGGAGGTCACATTTGGGGGCCCGGTGGGCCAGTCGGTTTGTGCTGCGTGTCCGAGCCGCCAGGGGAGCGAGCCTCGGCCTTGGGGAAGCCCTCGCGCTCCGGCCGGCTGCGTTCCCATTCATTGGTGGCTGCGCTTGCCCAGGAAGCAAACCCAGCCTGCGCGTATTCCAGTACTTTCGAGCTACCCCACCACTTTCCAGAGCAGTTTGATGGGAGCAGCCGGGGAAGGGGCCGTTTTGTGCCTACAGCACTTGCTGTTTGCATCTGGATAGTATCACTTTGCCGCGATTCTTCCTTAATGCGTTCGCTCACGAGTTGGGAACGTGTTGACCGTTTGGCTGGGGGGGGGGTGTACATTCTCTGGAGGCAGTTTCTTTTAGCCCTGTTCGTTAATACACAAGAGTTTCCCGGAGGAGGGAGTTTCCAGCCGCCTGTTTTGTTCCAAAGACGGTTCGCGGTGCTCCTGGCTGTGGGGAGAGGGTCCTTCTGCCCTCCACGGGCTGGTGCCCATCATGCCACTCCCCCTACCACATAGAACCAGAAGCAGTACATCTACAAAGGGCACACAGTCCTGAACCAGCTTCTACCCCACCCCCGGCCCCGGTTCATCCAGGGGCCAGTTATCACTAAAATCCACACGCTATGCGTGGGAGTCAGGGATTATGCACAGGGGAAAAGGTGTGTGTTTTGAAAATAATAATGCTAAAGGGAAGTAACACATGACTCATCCACGCTGAAAATGCACAACCAAGAACAACGGCAATTACAGGAGTCGGAAAACCACCATTGAAGGGCAGAAAGCCCTGAGCTTAAAATCCCTGAGTCTTAGAATCTGCTCTCTAGATTTCTCGGTCTGTGCTTCAACACACAGCACTCTTCTCAGGCCACTGAGTGAGTGGGCTCCAGGAGGAACCAACCCAACCCACCCCACCCCACCCTCATTCCCAGGATGGGCCTCTCTAAGACAAACTGACCTGAAATCTACAGCCAATCCCCAACAAGCCCATCAGTGGCTAGGAGGCAGGGTGGAGTCTGACGGAAGCATGGTGATCACGCCTTCATTCATTCAATGGACATTGAACATCTCTTAAGTAGCTGCTAGGGAGCCCCAGTGGTGTACTGGGTTTCCAATTGGGCTGCTAGTCACAAGATCAGCAGTTCGAAACCACTAGCCGCACGCTCGTTGGAGAAAGATGAGGTTTTCCACTCGCATAAAGATCTACAGACTTGGGAACCCAGAGGCAGTTTTCCCTGCCCCATGGTGTAGCTCTGATTTGAAATCCACCCACCTCAATGGCAGGGAGTTTGGTAACTTCCACCTTAAGGGTTGAGTTGCAGGGGACGTGGGGGGGGGGGCAGGTGTAGGGGGAAGTATTGGGAAACACAGTGACCAAATAGGTAAAATAGGTAGCATGTTAGAAGTTCAGGTTGTTAGAATTAGCAAGTAAAAACACAGGACACCCAATTAAAGGTGTGTTTTAGGTGCACAACGGGTCACCCTTTCGAGTAAGCATCCTCCATACAATATTTGGGACATACTGGTTGGTGCTATGGTGTTGGGCTGCGAACCCCAAGGTTAGCAGTTCAAACCTACCAGTAGATCCAAGGAGGAAAGCCCTTCCCTGTAGAGATTTACCTTCCCAGAAGCCTCAGGCAGACTTGACATGAGTCGGAATTAACTCAATGGCAGTGTTCTGTTTTGAAACCCACAATGTTGGGGACACATTTAGATCCCGCCCCCACCCCCCACCCCATTTGAAATTTACATTTCACCAATCCTGCACTGTTTTTACCTGACCACCCATTAGAGGGAGATAAGACGGGAAAAGGGAGGGGGGAGGCGCTGGGAGATTGCAAAACTCAAGTGCTGTGGTCAGAGGGAGCCTCCAGAGGGTGGCATGCGGGTTGAGGCCTGAAGGGGCTGAGGAAACCAGCAGGCAGCTCTCTGGGAGTTAAGCACTGCCAGGCCCAGGAGGAACCGAACAGCAAGTATCTAACTCTCAGCGTCCACTCCCGGACCTAGGCGGGAAATGAAAGCGTTGAGACAATCCCGGGCCAGCAGCACGTTGGGGTTGTGGGAGTAAGGCAGGAATGCAGGCTTTTGTCCCCGGTGGGTGGGGCTCCAGGGATTGGAGGGAACAGTGGCTTGGTCTCCACTTGTCTTTTGCCAGGGTCCTGCTGGGTTACTCTGGAAAGTAAACCAAGGGTGAGGAGGGGGCGGAGGATGGGCAGGGGCAGGAAAGTCGGTTAGGAGGTTTCCACAGTCAACCAGGCTCTGGCTTGCCCCAGTGGGTAGTACAGCCAGGTGGTGAAGAAGCCAATATTCTAGATGCACCTCGAAGGCAAGATCCTCAGAATTTGCCAAAAGATTGGACTGGACTTGTAAGAAAGATCAAGAACTTTCTGAGTAGCTGGAGAACAAAATCGCCTTCTCTCTCTCTCTCTCTCTCTCTTTCTCTCTCTCTCTCTCCCCCCCCAACCCCCCACCCCTTCATGACTCTCTAGTGGATTGCAGCTCATCAGGACCCTAGAGGACATAGCAGAATTGCCCTTGTGGGTTTCCCATGCCATAAACCGTCATGGGACTAAAGAGTCTCATCATCCTTCTGCCAAGCAGCTGGTGGTCTTGAACTGCTGGCCATGCTGTTAAGCAGGGGTCCTCAAACTATGCTAGCCCACGGGCCACATGCGGCCCGCCGAGGACATTTATCTGGCCCACTGGGTGTTTTTGCCCCATTTGGGTTTTTTTTACTTCAAAATAAGATATGTGCTGTGTGCATAGAAATTTGTTCATAGTTTTGGGTTTTTTTTTAACTATAGTCCGGCCCTCCAATGGATCCGAGGGACAGTGAACTGGCTAAAAAATTTGAGGACCCTTGCTGTTAAGCAACCCAAAGCATAACCCACTGTGCCACACACAAGGTCTCCTGCTATTTACCTAGGAAGGGGCATTGGGGGCAGGGGAAAGGGGGAGGGAAGAGCATATGAGTGTGTTTATTGGGCAGGAGGATGCAGAAAATCCATGGGTGTGTTAGAATTGAGAAACAAACGAATTAGTTATCAAAGAGGAGGGGTTGATGGCTCTTTGGGTGTCCGTGACCCCCCTCCCCTTTCCCTGACTCATTCCCAACAACACCCCCACCCCACCCATCTCCACCTAACAGGGAGAGGAAACGAGTTCTGGGAACTAAAGATCCCTAGGATTGGATGTGTGTGGAGAAAGACAGGTCCAAGGAAGGACGGGGAGAGGAAGGGGGGACTTCAGTGCATGGGGATGAGGGAGGTTGGGGATAGGTATCTGAAGATCCTGTGAAAAGCGGTTAAACCCCCAGGTTAGCTTTGTAAAGTCCCGTGAGTTCTGGGTGCACACACCATGCGGCTGTACGCGCACTTCTGGTGAGGCACGGTGGGTTAGCACTTGACTGCTGACAGAGAGGTCAGTGGTTCAGCCATACCTAGTGGCCTCGCAGGTGCAAGCACCTGTGGATCTGTTAGGTTTCTGGAGTGGGGTATATCTCGATCCTTTGCTTCGCACTGGAAGAATTCATGCCGGAGCACGTCGTGTGATCTAAGTGGGTTTTTGGGGAGGACAGGACACGTTTCAGGTATTACTGTCTCAAAAGAGCACACACTATTTCTGGGAAGCGTGCCAAGCGGTGCAGAAGCCAAGTTGGGGTTCACCACTGGGCATGAACAACCACATGGAAAAGAGCACCCCACATGGGCGGATCCCAGGACACCAGAAGCCCAAGAACCCTAGAGGCTAAAAGCATGTGCACCCAGAGACCGAGAGCATGGGGGCCAAGAGGCTGTGGGCCTCGAGTCGGCCCAGAACAGGCGCCTGGTGCCCACACCCTCCACCTGCGGCTGACCAGGAGCAGGACACATGTGAGGGAGGCCTTCCCACAGCCAGGATACTTCAAGCCTCTGGCTGGGGAGGCACGGTTGTTGGTATTGGTTGACCCCATTGGCTGAGTTAGGCCCATCTCTGTGATATACCTCAGGTGGTGTGTCCAAGAGAATGGTTTGACTTGGTCCGAGGGAGCATGTGTCTGTGCATGCTCAGTTTGGGGTCTTCAAAGGTGTTCAATGGTCACCTGATTTTTTTCCAACCTCCTCTGTGGGGGCCTTTACAGGCATGGGAGGGACAACCCCCCTGTCCTTATAGCTACCTAACAAGTGAGCTGCCAGCAAGATGACAGCCCAGGAAAACATGGTGGGGACCTTCTCTGCCCTGGAGAGTGTCTCTGAGGCAGGACCAGCTGAGGGCAGACGACAGTTGGATGCCGGGCAAGAGGTATGGTGCCTTCGTTTCCTCGGTTCCTGGCAAGGGAGTACCACCTGTGGACCACACGCAACAGGCCAGCATCCCGATAGCAGCACTGGCCACAGTACCACATGTCCCCATCTACCAGGGTGCTCTCTCTTGTCTGGGCTTCTGGCTCTGTTTCACCCAAGCACCATGTGATAGTCCGGGGCAAGGACCTTGTCGGAGCCATTTTTGCATTCCATGCACCGCCTGAGTACCGGACGGACATGGTAGAAGGCGCTCCCACTGTCTTTGTTACAGGAGAGCCTAATCACATTACCCTAGGAGGTGGAGCCTCTCAGTCTATTCAAGATCGGGGTCCCTCTGTCAGGTGGTCGTGTAACGTATTGTCCAAAGGGCTCCCCTTTTGAGAGTGAAAGGGGACACTATTAATAATTTGTTTGGAACAACAGTTGCAATGCAGAACGCTTCTTGGCAAACCAGGACATACGGTCTCCCCAAGGAGAGCTGGAA